ATAGGATTAAAACTTTTAATTTAAATATTAATATTTTAAAAAATTAACTAAAATGTAAATTTTTAGATAAATTTTTCAAAAAAAAATTTCGGTGAACAATATACACTATGCAGTATGCACTACCCTAAAGCATGTAGTTATGGCTTTGAGTTATTAATCTGCCAAATGCAAGCATGTATGAGGCCCTCGAAGTCCAACTAAGTTCAGCCCAATATCGTGATGATAGTTTAGTTGTGACTTGCGACTTTGTGATATCCACTTCCACTGAAACAGAAGTGGCGTCGAGCCCAGGTACTCTCATTTTGCGGGTTCTGCTAGGGCCAAGAGGCCCGCCCATAGTAAGTTGAAAGTCCAACTTAAGATTTAAAGATTTAAGCTCCTTTACTATAGAAAGTTGTCAATTTAAGCCCTTAAAGTACATTTTAAATAAAAATTTAAGAATGAAAATGCACAAGCTTAGGCAATAATACGTGATTCCTCATGGCATGGCAATGGGATAGGTTTGATGAGAAATGATAATATGCGATTTCTCATTACATCATCTTGAGAGCTATGGCCATCTCCATGTTTGTACATAAATTGAGCCATTCTTGCAAGGTTTATTGCAGCTTCAATCAAAGTTTGAGGGAGAAGAGAGGGCTCAAATTCATTTTTGTTCATCTTCTTCCATGTTTTGTCAATCAAATCTTGTATGTATTCACGAGCATCTTCTTCTAGAACTCCAGTTTCACGCATGTAACATTGAATGGATTTTGGAACATCACCCCTTCTCATTTCATCCTAAAAAAATAGGGATTGTTAAGTCATGCAAAAACAACTCAAATCAAGAAGCAAAATGAGACAAAGGGTAAATACCGGTGATGTTCCCAAATCATCTGCAAGCCTCAATACCATTGATGAACAACGGATTATACTAGGCAATTCTTCCTCTAAATATTGTAGGACCTCATTTGTTATGTGATTTGAAGAAAGAATATAAGCATGCAACAATACTAAAGGAGCTGATATTGAAACGATTGCATTATCAATGTAATCTTGCAACGATGGTGTGTATCCTTGATGGTACCATTTCGCCTCTATCAAGTAAGTTTTACATAACTCCAACCACTAAGAGAAATTAAGATTGAAAGAATTAGTTAGAGTAATCAAACACAAAGTCATTCAAGTCAAGAATTAAGTAACGATACCGCTTTCTTTGAGTAAGGAAGGATGTTTATTCCTTGTTCCTGAAAAATATCCGAGGCAATTTGGTTCATGGAGTTGTGCAGCGCAAAAAAGCATAACTTCATATAGTCTGGGAGCTGCTCTATTGCATTGATATCCCATCTGAAATTCGATAGAACAATTGAAGCATGAAAGAAATTATTAAGTTCAAATGAAAGCGACTGCTAAGCACAAACCTTTCAATGGCATCAGTAAAAAGTTCAAG